GCATCATGGACTCAGTGGTCGTGAGTTTGAGCAAACTCTTGGGAGATAGTGAAGGACAGGGAAGCTTGGAGTACTGTAGACCCCACTGTGGTCCTTGAGTTGGCAAAGAGTTGGACACAACCTAGCTACTGAACAATGAACAACAGATTCTAAATGGGATCATTTAGATACAAAACAACATTAGTAACTTTAAAAGTTGCAACAACAGCAGACCAGTTCCCTCATGTAAGACTCAGGACTGGTTTATCTCCATTAGCAAAGAATGCACTAGGTTAATGGATGACCTTGGTACATTCCAGCACAGTAAACTGATTAAATCTAAGAAATAATAGCATTAAAGTGCCACAAACCACTGGGGAGCAGTTACAAAGAAGATGGAGGATCTAAAATTATTTCAATGGTATTTGTATATTTGAGGGTCAGTTTCACACAAATCCCGGTTTGTAAAATAATTTATCTGGAGATTAGGCACTAGGATTTTGTTAGATGATGAAATTTGTATCATTTAATGATTACTGATATAGCAAAGGTGTCCATGAGTTGTATGCAAAAACAGGTCTAGGGAAACAAAGCAAAAAAAAACCCTAGAGTTCATTAAATTGTACTTCAGAATTTCATATATAATGTGTATATATATAAATGCATATGCTTAGTTTCTCAGTCATGTCCAACTCTGTGACCCTATGGACTGTAGCCTGCCAGACTCCTCTGTCAATGGAGTTTCTCAAGCAAGAGCAGTGGACTGGGTAGCCATTCCCTTCTCCAAGGGATCTTCCCGACCGAGGGATCAAACCTGGGTCACCTGCATGGCAGGCAGATTCTTTACTGTCTGAGCCACCAGGTATGTCTTATTCCTACTGTCTGTGTGTCTGTCTCTCTGTTGGATCTCATTTTCCTTGAACACTTTTATCACGGGAATACCTCCATCTGGGTTCTTGCTCTGTGTGGTCTTAGTTCAGCAAGTCGATCTAAGAAATAGATTCAGCAAGTCTCTCTGAATCTGTCTTGTGGCCTTACAGCAGTGAGGTTGTAAGGTTCAGTGAGTTCAGTCACTCAGTCGTGTCTGACTCTGCGACCTCATGGACTGCTACATGTCAGGCTTCCGTGTCCATCAACAACTCCTGGAGCTTGCTCAAACTCATGTATATCGAATCGGTGATGCCATCCAACTATCTTATCCTCTATCATCCCCTTCTCCTCCTGCCTTCAAACTTTACTAGGATCAGGATCTTTTCCAATGAGTCAGGTCTTCACATCAGGTGGCCAAAGTATTGGAGTTTCAGCTTCAGCACCAGTTCTTCCAATGAGTATTCAGGACTGATTTCCTTTAGGATGGACTGGTTTGATCTCCTTGTAGTCCAAGGGACTCTCAAGAGTCTTCGTCAACACCACAGTTCAAAAGCATCAATTCTTTGGTCCTCAGCTGCCTTTATAGTCCAACTCTCATATCCATACATGACTACTGGAAAAACCATAGCTTTGATTAGACGGACCTTTGTTGGCAAAGTAATGTCTCTGTTTTTTAATATGCTGTCTAGGTTGGTCATAGCTTTTCTTCCATGGAGGAAGCATCTTTTAATTTCATGGCTGCAGCCACCATCTACAGTGATTTTGGAGCCCCCCAAAATAAAGTCTGTCTCTGTTTCCGTTGTTTCCCCATCCACTTGCCATGAAGTGATGAGACCAGATGACATGATCTTAGTTTATTGAACATTGAGTTTTAAGCCAGCTTTTTCCCTCGTCTCTTTCACTTTTATCAAGAGGCCCTTAATTCTTTGCTTTCTGCCATAAGAGTGGTATTATCTGTGTATCTGAGGTTATTGATATTTCTCCTGGCAATCTTGATTCCAACTTGTGCTTCATCCAGCCTGGCAGTTCTCTTGATGTGCATATCAGTTAAACAAGCAGGGTGACAACATACAGGCTTAACGTACTCCTTTACCAATTTGGAACCAGCCTGTTGTTCCATGTCCAGTTCTAACGGTTGCTTCTTGACCTCCATACAGATTTCTCAGGAGGCAGGTAAGGTGGTCTGGTGTTCCCATCTTCTGAAGAATTTTTCATAGTTTGTTGTGATCTACACAGTCAAAGGCTTTGGTGTAATCAATAAAGCAGATGTAGATGTTTTTCTGGAACTCTCTTGCTTTTTCTGTGATCCAGCGGATGTTGGCAATTTGATCTCTGCTTCCTCTGCCTTTTCTAAATTTGGCTTGAACATCTGGAAGTTCAGAATTCATGTACTGTTGAAGCCTGGCTTGGAGAATTTTTAGCATTACTTTGTGTGAGATGAGTGCAATTGTGCAGTAGTTTGAGCATTTTTTGGCATTGCCTTTTTTGTGGATTGGAATGAAAACTGACCTTTTCCAGTCCAGTGGCCACTGTTCAGTTTTCCAAGTTGGCTGGCATATTGAGTGCAGCACTTTCACAGCATTATCTTTTAGGATTTGAAACAGCTCAACTGGAATTCCATCACCTCCATTAACTTTGTTCATCATGATGCTTCCTAAGTCCCAGTTGACTTCATATTCTAGAATGTCTGGCTCTAGGTTAGTGATCACACTATCATGCTTATCTGGGTCATGAAGATCTTTTTTATACAGTTCTTCTGTTTATTCTTGCCACCTCTTCTTAATATCTTCTGTTTCTGTTAGGTCCATACCATTTCTGTCTTTTATTGTGCTCATTTTTGCATGAAATGTTCTGTTGGTGTCTCTGTATTTCTTAAAGAGATCTGTAGTCTTTCCCATTCTATTGTTTTTCTCTTTCTCCTTCTATTGTAAGGTTCAGATGAGCTAGCTAATGCACCATAAAAATGTCTCTGAAACCAAACCGTTTATTACAGATACCATTTACTCTAATGATTTTCTTAATATGTGTCTGCTTTACATGCATCATCTAATCTCTCAATAACCTTCTAAGGTAGCTGCTCTTACTATCTCATTTAACATTTGAGAAAGCTGAGGCACAGAAGGATTATTAACTTGCTCAAAGTCACATGGTTAAGGGGGGACCGGGATGGGGAATACATGTAAAAAAAAAAAGATACACTATGGTTGTGATAAAAAAATAAATAAATAAATAAATAAATTAAAAAAAAAAAAGTCACATGGTTAATTTGTAGTTGGTCTTTTTGATTCCTCCAGCAGAATTCTTATCCAATATATTGAAATGCCTCTTGAAATTGACTTAATAATAAAATGTTCCTCTTCACCCTAGAGAGTTTACCAATTGTTTACCCCAGTCTAGTCTGCCATTTGGATATTTAGAAAATGTGTAGAAAATACCAAATTTTCTCAGATGAAGAATATAACTTTCTTTAAAATTGGCTCAATTACTTATTCTGTAAACATTTATTGAGTACTTACTGTATACCAGGATGTATTTTGCCTTGGAAATATAGAGATAAAAGTGCTTATAGAGAAATCGATGTTCAAAGATGTCATGTCAGCAGATTTTTCTTGGACTATGTTCTCTGGTCCCTGTCGCCTAGACATGAGGGCTTGGACAGTGAGCTGTAATAGCATGATTAGTGACTTTTTAGAATTATCTTAGACTTGACTATACTAGTCTTTTTTTAAAGATGGAACTAGACAGGGCTAGCCTTCTACCTCTTTTCTTTGCTTCCATCTTATTCTTCCCTCATCCATTATCCACAGAACTGCTGGGTGAGTTTTACAAGATGTAAATTTGATCATAATTCTCTTACCTCCTTAGGGCTAACAGAGAGCTTCAAATAGAGTGCTGACCCCTTACAAAACTCTTAAATGCTCATTACTCTGCACCTTCACATATATTGTTTTCTCTGCTTAGATGAGGATATTCCTGATCCCACTCTGGCTGTTAACTCCTACTTTAGCACAGATGTTCTTTTTCTTTGGGCCCTTCTGAGATCACCCAGCTTCTGAGGGTCTCTACAGCATTTTTTCTGTACTCACATTTGCCTCTTGGATTCTAATTACCTTTTTGGGCTGTAAAATCCATAAGGAGAGGAGATGCATTAGTCTTGTCCAGAGTTGTAGCCTCAGCTTCTAAGGTGGTGCTCAATTCATGTTTATTGAATGAAAAAAAATTAATGTAAATAGCAGAGTTCTAATTAAAGACACATGTTTTTCTAACTCTTTAGTGTCAGAGTTGGTTCAGCTATAGCTTCTACTTTCTTTCTCAAAATGCTTTTCAAAACTGCCACAGAGTTTTGGAAGTGACTCACATTCTGGGGACCCACTAGCAACAAGTCTTATGGTCTTTGCTCATCGCATTTGTAGCTTTGATGAATTTGAAACTGGTTTGGCTAGTTTACAGGTTCAGTTCAGTTCAGTCACTCAGTCGTGTCCGACTCTTTGTGACCCCATGAATCGCAGCACGCCAGGCTTCCCTGTCCATCACAAACTCCTGGAGTCTACCCAAATTCATGTCCATTGAGTCAGTGATGCCATCCAGCCATCTCATCCTCTGTCGTCCCCTTCTCCTCCTACACCCAAGTCCTCCCAGCATCAGGATCTTTTCCAATGAGTCAACTCTTCGCATGAGGTGGCCAAAATATTGGAGTTTCAGCTTCAGCATCAGTCCTTCCAATAAACACCCAGGACTGATCTCCTTTAGCATGGACTGGTTGGATCTCCTTGCAGTCCAAGGCCCTTGTGAAAATTATTCTTCTTTAGTAGCACTTGCAAAACAGTGTTCACCCTCAAATATCAGAAAGTATCTGTAAAGTGATAAAATTTGGGTTGATTATTGGAATAACATTGAAATAAAGTATTTTAAGTATATAGTAATTGTGAAAAATCTTAAACTTGGTGAATTTTTCCCTAGGAAGTTGATATTCATAACATTAAATTCTGGGGGGGGGGGGAAATATACTTCTGTATCAAGTAACTTTGGAAAAACTTGCCTTTGTGCCTCCTTTTAGTTAAGAATTTATTTTGTCAGTTTAAATACTCTATTTCTCTATTTTGTTTTATTGATGTTTTTATGTGTATTGAATAGCTGTTATTCTTTTATAGTTATGCCCCTTGGTGTCCCTCCTGTCAGCAGACTGATTCAGAATGGGAGACATTTGCAAAGAATGGTGAAATACTTCAGATCAGTGTGGGGAAGGTAGATGTCATTCAAGAACCAGGTACTGTAAATGTTGAACATTAAATACAAAAGTTTGTTGCTTTTAATTTGAATTTTTTCACACAATGCAGAAAAGTTGAAAGACTAGAATATTGATTACCATAAACTGACTACCTAAAATCAACAAACAATATTTTAGCATATATGTATCTGTTTGTGTATTCATATTTACACATACAGATGTGTGTATATATTTTTATGATTTTTTTGCTAAGTCATTTGAATATAAGTTGCAAACATCATGAGGCTTCACCCTTCATTCAGCATATTAATGTGTCTTTAATTATTTTCCATGTCATTTTATAGTTTTTTAAACCAGGATCCAATCAAGGTTCACCAGTTACATTTCATTGTTAAGTGTTTTTAGTCTCTATCAATCTAGACTACTCCATTTTTTCCATGCTGTTGTTATTCTGGAGAGAACAAGCTAGGGATTTTCTGAGATGTTTCTTTATGGTGACATTTAACTTGCTTTTATATTTTCTGCATTTTCTGTAAACTTGAACTTTTGTCTGAAGGGATGATTTGAGTTAAATACTTATGGAGGAGTGATGCTGTGACTTTATATTGTATCCCATCAGAAGACATGTACTGTCACTATTAGTGGTGCTGAGTTTGAGCACTTGGTTAAGGTGATGATACTACACATCTCAATTATGAAGAAAAGGCCACACTTTATAGCTGGTAGGTAATATATGGGGCAATACTTTGGGGTTTTAAGATCTGTGATGATCTTACCTAAGCAAGATATTTTATTAAGAGTTCCAGAATGGTGAATTTCTAATTCTTTCACCATCTGCATTTATTAGTTGTTAATGATGAAAATTAACAATGAAATAATGAATGAATAATGAAAATGAATACTAATGAAAAAATTATAATGATACAGGTTTTCAAAAGAGGGAGATAGAGACTTGAATTCTGAAAAAATACAATAAATTTGTATTTCTAGTTTAAAAATAACTGTGTAATATATGTAAATTGAGAAAAGTTGGGTTTTTATTATTTAAATCTCAAATTTGACAATTTTCAAACTGTATAAGTAATTTTTTCCTATCTACATTTAATTTCTACCTGTTGCATGCTTTCATAGGAAAGAAAAAGATAGTAGAGGTGGAAATGTAGCTATTCCTTCTCTGTAATAGCTGTGAGTCCAACAATCACAAAATAATGAATTACCAGTTACATGGACAACAAAATGAACGGTGTCAGTTATTATCTATGTGTTGACAAACCCATGGAGAGAGGTTTCTGCTACAAGCTGTGAGTCCTTAAGCCTCCGCCTCTTTAAGCATTTAAACCAAAACCAGTAATGCCTGTCTGCTATTTAGAGATGGACAGTTACCATTATTGGGCTCCCCTGGTGGTTCAGACAGTCAATAATCTGCCTGCAAGGCAGGAGACCCAAATTTGATCCCTGGACCAGGAAGATCCTCTGGAGAACGGAATGGCTACTCACTCCAGTATTCTTGTCTGGAGAATTCCATGGATAAATTAGCTTGGCAGGCTATGGGTTTGCAAACAGTTGGCCACAACTGAGGGACTAACAGTTATCATTATTAGTTGATGATTTGGGCTATTATATGGGCTTCCCTGATAGCTCAGTTGGTAAAGAATCCCCCACTTCCATTCCTAGGTCAGGAAGGTCCGCTGGAGAAGGGAAAGGCTATCCGCTCCAGTTTTCTTGGGCTTCCCTTGTGACTCAGCTGGTAAAGAATCAGCCTGCAATGAGGGAGACCTGGGTTCGATCCTTCAGTTGGGAAGGTACCCTGGAGAAGGGAAAGGCTACCCACTTCAGTATTCTGCCCTGGAGAATCCATGGACTGTATAGTCCATGGGATCGCAAAGAGTCGTACATGACTTTCACTTTTGACTTTCTGCTATTTTAATGAGTTTTTATATTTGGAGATCAAATCATTAGTTACATATCTGCTGTAAACTTGTTTTTGTGTTTTTAAAAGTTTGAGTCCAGTGAAGTGAGGTGTCAGCCTTGTTAACCGGACACATTCTATGATGAGTTTTTTTGGAAATGAAGCATCTGGCCTATTCTCATTTCAGCCTTTTGGGTTACCTGCTGGAAATTCACAGCATAGTTTGAATTAAACAAATTAAACAGCTTTGTGATGAAGTCATAGATCTAAAACCTAACTATTAATAAATATAGTCTTTCCTTCTAAAATGTAGACATAGCTATTTTTCACTTGTGAATGGATTAAATGTATAGTGAAATAAGAGAAATTGACTATGACAAAAATATTTTAAAAGCAAATTCATCATTGACTCATAGTATTAATATAAATATGATACATGTTCAAAGAAGGAAAAAAGTCACTGGTTTAGTGTTCCATGAAAATAGGAAAGAAATAAAGACCAAAAAAATCAAAATGTGGTTGTTTTATGTCTCAGTTTTTTTAAAGTAGAAACTCTAGAATTTTTTTAAATGGTAGCTACTGAAAACCTGTAACTGATTAAAAAAAAAAAAAACTAGGATACAAAATTCACACACATGACTGTGTAGCCTAGAGAATATTTCACTTTAGATTATATTATTTTATGCTTATAATTGTACTTTAAATTACAAATGTAATGCTTTCAAATAATATTTTAGTAGAGTTTAGAAATAATGTGTTTTTTCAACAAATTTTTGAGTTGGTATCATGCACCAGGCCCTGTTCTGTATACCAGTGATAAGATCAATGATGCAGATAAATAAAGATGCAAATGAATAAGAAGGGAAAAATGTGGTTCCGTATTGAGTTTACATTCTAGTGAAGGGGATAAACAGTCACAAAAGTAAAATGGGAAATAATGTCTGGTGGTGGTAAGGGCTGTAATGAAAAAGAAAGCAAGGTAAAAATGTAAAAAATGGCAGGAGCCACTGTTTTAATAGGATGTCCAGGGAAGGGCTTTTTAATTGTAGGTCTTGACAAATTAAGGAAATGAATTTCAATGAGGTTTAGGAGAGGATCTTTCCAGGTTGAGCAAACAGTATGTGCAGGTAGGGGCATTTGGCTTATTTGAGAAGAAACATTGCCAGTGGGGTCCTTGAGACAAATGGCACTGGAGAGGTAGCTAGAGACCAGATCACGTAGGCTCTTGTTGGCCAACGGCAAAGTGCTTAGGTTTTATACCAAGCATGATAGAAAGGAAGCTAACTGGAAGGTTTAGCGGGGGAGTTACATGATTTGATTTATGTTTTAAAAGTATTCATTTGGCTGCTATGCAAAAATTCGTCTGTAGGAGGTCGGAAGTATAAACCAGAAGAAAAGTTCAGAGGTCAGTTCAGTAGCCTAGAGTGGAGGGATGAGGGCTTGGATGAAGGCAGCAGTGTTACGTGGGTGGATTGAAGATACGCATTTGGCTGGAATACCCAGAAGGATTTCCTGATAGGTGGATTGCAGCACTTGTGAAAAGAGTGAAGTTGGAAGAGATTAAAAGAGGATCAGGTTTGGAACAGGGTTTAGCTTTGAGATGTTTAGTGGAAATCCAAATAGAGATGAGCTAGAGAAAGGCATTTAAGAATTACCAAGGTAGATGGTATTTTAAGCAAAGGGACAAATTGAGATTACCTTGGGAATGTGTGCTTCCTGGTGGCTCAGCAATAAAGAAGGAGACTCGAGTTCGATCCCTAGGTCGGGGAGATCCCCTGGAGAAGGAAATGGCAACCCACTCCAATATTCTTGCCTGGGAAATCCCATGGACATAGGGATCGCAAAGAGTCAGACACGATTGAGTGACTAAACACCAACACCAGGGAATATGTGCAGAGAAGTGTTTTCAGAATTGAGAATTGGGGCATTCCAACATTTAGAAGCTGAGAAGGAGAAGCTAGTGAGGTAGGAAGGAGATGGAGAAGTAGGCAGTTTTGGAAGCCGAATGAAGAGAGACTGTCTTATGTGGTACTGACTCATGGGCAAACCTCCGGGACATCTTGTCTGTATTCTTGGAAGCAAGTATTTGCTTTATTTTTACAAAATCTTACCTCCTTAATAAGCAGTGGGAAACCATCACGATATTATTTTTCCCACAGTTGAGATGTTCACTGGATATTTCTGTGTATAGTTGAAGGTTTGGATGCAAATCTGTATTACTGTAACTTTCATCAGGTTTGCCATGTGCAGGAATGCTAGTAAGGGATAATTTCATTCTTTTTTAAAAAGAAGGGAAAGCAAGAATTTTTGAAGTGTTCATGCATACTCTTTAGTTATGCCTGTAACTCAACTGTTGGTGTTTCTAATAAGATATTTTTTTAGGTAGTTTAAGTAGAAAGTAAGATTTCAGGATTATAAAGACTGAGGATTATAAACACATTGCATTTTTACATCTGAGATGTAGAAGTCAAAGAGAGCACAGGCCTTAGATTACATATGCTGCCTGTTTAATACTGTGTAGACCAGGTGACGTTTCAGTTGAGTTGACTTTGGAAAGTTAATGACTGTCTACTTGAACCTTCTGTTCTATGTGGATGAGCTTAGTTGTCCAAGACAGAAAACAGCAGCTGCTCAGAAAACATCCATGGCTGTTGCACTAGATTAGAGGTAAAACCATGGCCAAAAGTAAGCATTGTCCTCAAAGTCACTAAGTTATTATAGAAACTACTTTAGTTTACTGCACTTCAGTTAGTGTTGACATTTTAGTTTTATAATAATAAAACTTAGTCATTTATATTCCATTATATTGACAACTTCATTTCAGTTTTGAAGGTAAGATTAGTTTTACTTTTTAAAATTTTTTCCTTCTACTTCTGTCTTTGATGATAATAACTAACATTTAGTAAGCATTTACTTCCGCCTGTAATTGTGTTGAGCAACTTACATAAGTTTTAGCATCATTACAATCCTAGGAAGAACAAACTCTTTTTATATTACTCAGAAACAGACTCAGCGAGGTTAATTAACAAAAGCTAATATCTGTCCCAATCTGATCACATGGACAACAGCCTTCTCTAACTCAATTAAACTATGAGCTATGCCTTGTAGGGACACTCAAGAAGGATGGTCA